AGTTAGTGTCCCATACATATGGTGCGGTTTCCCTTGCGTGCATATGGTGCTGTTTCCCTTGCAAGGTTAAGGCTACCGGTAGTGTCGCATACATATGGTGCTATTTCCCTTGCAAGGTTAAGGCTACCGGAACCCTTCCGTTCCTTGGCTTTTAGAAAAATGCAAGTTGAGGGCACTAGCCTCCGGCTGGCTGTCCTTAATTCATATCCTTGCTACAGCATTAATTAAGTTTTAAGATCTAATAAGCTCTCGTAGCTAAGTTTTTGAGTCGAAAAGTCATTTTCGATAGCTTGTGAGATCTACTTTACCTGTTTGTGAGATCTACTTTACCAGTCTCCGCTGATTCTCAAATAAATGCTGTCAGACATGTACGAGCAGCTTCGATTTTATTGATGCAAACGCGTGCCGACCTCCACGGTACACATCTACTCGAGCTCTCGTAGAAGTGTACTAGAAAACCTGGCACGCGTTTGAATCTTTAAAACCGAAGCTGCCTGTAGTACCAAGGCTTCAATTACGTCGTGCCTGCTTGGATACTGGCCCCTCCGAAGCTTCCAACTCATATCTCTGCCTTTCGGCGGCACACACTGCAGTAAATTGTTGTGATGGATCTCGAGGGAGCGCCTCGGAAATCGACACACCAAGCAATTCCGTTTGGTTGCTTTCTCCTAGCAACACCCAGCCTCGTTCATTCTTCATGTCAACATGAGCTCCACCGTCGCCAATTCGATACTTCCGGCATCGGTAGCCAGCCAGTCAGCAAAGAGTGGTACCGCAACCACCTGCTTGACCTGTGTCCGACGATTGAACTGGCGGCTGATCGAAGTGACGATTTCTCCTATTGTGGTTGCCTCCTGCCCGACATAAAACAGCTCTGTCGCCTCAAATGGCTCGATGCGTGCTTGTTCCATGGCTTCGCGGTTCAAAGGCACAAGTTCATGTTCCAATCCAGTCATCAACCGTATAAGGATCACAATCTGTGTGAGAGCTTCAAACGCCTTCGCTTCATCAATGCTAGAATGCTCCAAAGTTGCCGTAAGCTGCCGGTAGTCTTTGCCTAGGACGTTCTGTTGGGCTATCATGAATGCGGGCCATGCATATCTAGGCGTTTGGTTGCTTTGAGTGAATCGTTCACTCATATATGAGTACGCTCGAAATATATTGTGGGCGTTGGTGAGGGAATCAATGTCACCAGAAATAGTGGCCTTCAGACACTTGATGCGCTCTTCGCTGCTATCGCCGTCCAGAAACATATCGTCCGTGTATTCAGCAATCATTCCAGAATCTTGCAACACCAATGCAGGAAGTCTCCCTCGTAAGACGGCAGACCAAAAAGAAGCCTCTTCCGTCGGCTCCTTGTACAGTAAAGGCCACGAAGACAATCTTCATTGACAATCCTTGGGATGTGTTTCCAAATGTGTCGTCGCCGTGACAGGCCTCTCAGCAAATCGGCTGTACTACGCTGGTGCGTTGAGTAGAGCACAGCACATCCATTTCGCTGAACAATATTTCCAAGAAGTGCGCTCCTATCGGTGTACTGGGTTGCCGTATATTGAATGACATTAAGCTCGTCCACAATGAGAATAACCTTCTTGTCAGTCAGCCAGTCATCAACAGCACCAAAGTCGCTGTGTCTGCCTCTGAAATTAATGAAGGACTTGACGTTTCGATTGGTGAGTTCCCACGCAATTCTGGACAGGATGGCATCGTAGGCTGTCTCTTGTGCAACGTTGTATGGTGTCACGCTGTTGAGTGATATGAAGATGATCATTGTCTCTGCTGGGAGCCTATTCCCCTTGCAGCGCTCCAGTATGCTGGCGACAGCATGAAGCATAAACGTCTTCCCCCCTCGACGACAACGTTGAATGGCCACAGGACACGCTCGTGTGGAGCTTGCCGATTCATCCCGGGCTGCCTCTTCTATCACAGCAGAAACTGTGCCTTCGAATTCACCGTGGTTGACAGGGTTGACGTTTGTACACAATCGCTGGAATTCAGCGCTATAATCCCTTGTGGGCTCTGCATCCTGGGGGACCACGAAACCGCTAGTAGCGTTTGACGCCATTGTCGGTTGTTTATAAGAGCTTAAAATGTTGTTCCTCACAAGAAAACGATGGTGGGTGCTCACCGCCTTCTCTTTCCCGGAAAAGACTGTGTATCCCTTCACGGCTACAATGCACGACTGGCTGAGGTGAAGCAACCTATTTGGCAAACTCTCCTGGCTTGACCGAACACCAATCCACCACCATGAACCATGACCATGAACAACGATCTAAAGCTGGCGCTTTCCCCCGACAAGTTTGAGACCTTAACCTATGCCTCTCACGGTGGCGTGAAGGAAAAGGCGATTTTCCTCGAACGACCACGCGCTGCAGTGGTGGGGACTGTGTTTGTTGATGACCCTGAGAGGTTGTCCCCCCGCTTGGTCCAAATCGTTCGCGATACAGCACTTGTGATTTCTTCGAGCTTCGAGGTGGACATTGACGGTATGAAGAATATCGTCAAACTTCGTGGGCAATTGGGTTTAATCCGCGTGGAAGAGCTGGCCCGTTCCCCAGATGCAAAGAGGGCTCGAACGAGTGATGACGTAGTAGCGACTCAAGTCTTCCTCCGGTACAGCGTTGATCCTGCTACAGCCAGACGCAACATCATGAACCAGACTATTCTTTTCCCCGATGGACCTTCCCATTACGGAGTGTACCAACAGGCTACTATTTCCAGCGTCACGCACCAGCCGCAAGAAACGTTAGTTGAGTTTCCTGACGGAGGGGTGGTCCCTGATCCTGATGAAGTGGTCCAAGTCCGTCAAGGCAGCACTACTCTTGACCCAATTACCTGGAAATTTGTCGACAAAACCACGGGAAAGCGGATTGGCTCAGATGAGAGGCGTCATGAATTCACGAAGGCGGCATATTCCTTCAAAAAGGCGGTAAACTACCAAGTCACTGCAGGTCACAAGATTGGAATGGTTGTTTGGCGGTGGTGGGACATCGACAAGAAGGATGCGCAGTATACTGGGACCGACCAGTCGTGGCTTGAGAAACGCAAGGAACTCTTTGGTGCGAAAGGAAGTCCTTGTGTTTACACTGGAGAGATTGTCCGTGTTTCCAATGATAGCCGAGCTTTTGAGCACAACATAAACTCGTTCAAAGGCTGTTCAGGCGCCATTATCTTCTTGCTGGACCGGAACCAGCCAGATGGCTTTGATGAAGAGTGGTCTGATTGTGCCATTGGGATTCACGTTGGTGCTGCTCCGGCGGGTATCTTAGGGTCTGAGGTGAGCCTCGGTTTTTCGATCCCTTGACTACCAGGTATGGTGTCTCTTGTACGGGAAAGTTTTCATTCAGTATAGTGAAAAGAAAACCTGCCCCGCAGGGGCAAGATAGTTGAAAGAAGAGGAGGAGGGTGAGGAAGGGGTTCTTCGCTATAGAGGCAATGCCCTTCTATCTGGCTTATTGGCAAAGTATCTTATGAGCACTGCTTTTCTCCTGCTGGGAAGGGTGCTATACATGGCCAATAGCTGATGGCTTATCCAAGAATAGTGTGGGCTGTGAATCCTTGGGCTCTGGATGGATCACCTTTGCATTGGGATTGGTACATTTGATTTGCTTCCCCATAAAGCAGCTGAACCAAAGGTAGTCTGCCAGTGGCTGTGCTTGATGATGTAGAATTGTTAGGCGATGGAGCTGCCAATGAAGCAAAGATGATGCCGCCATAGATTCAATAGTAGGAGTAGATTGTTGTTCCGGGTCTAATTCTGCTTCTGTTGCCCTGGCTTCATTTCATTTGAGACCAATCTGTCACCTTCAACCCAATCTTGTTGCGCCATGAAAGAAGTGAGCACTGGCTAAGATAAAGCTTCAATCCTTCTCGCCAGTGGCCGGTCTTTTTTGTCGTTTACAGACTTCCATCCACAGATCCGACGCTCAACCTTCCATCGAGGAGCGAGACGGCAACAGTAGCAAATGTAGACGGCCCCGCAATGCCCGCAATTGGAATGGGTAGTTGGTTTGTTGCTGACAGCAACTGCTGATGGCAATGAAGCAACCTCTGATATCCTATTACAGTCGTACAGTACTAGTCGCAGGGAGTGGTGGAAGAGTCGAGTGACAGTCGCTCATCTTGGGATTGCATTATGGTGGCATGGTGGGTGGTCGTGGCGGTTGCTGTTTGTTGATGTTGTCGATGGCTCAGAGACGCTAAACGCTAACCCTAGCAAGTGTAGCCAACGAAACCAAGCAAACGACCATGGTGTACAGTGTACAGTGTACATGTACCCGCCCCGCCGTAGGTGTCTCAGAGACGCTAAAAACGCTAACCCTAGTGTAGCCAACGAAACCAAGCAAACGACGCGACGCGGGATCATGATGGTTCTGCTTGACAATCCACTCGACTCATTCGACCCGATTGATTTTCCGTTAAGATGCCCGCAAAAAATAACCGACACGAATCGTGACACCCACGTCATCGATTTACCTCATTTTTCCAGAAATCTAGGTAAAAAAAGTATCCGCTCGAAGATTCTTCTTTTGTCACCTAATTTTGTCAACTGTTTGAGGCGCGTTTCACAAAATTGGTCTTGATTTCACGAATTTGGTGGTTTGTTGCGAAAGAAACGTTCTTTCACTGGCGCTGCCGCGATGCGATGGTCTCTCTCGACAGTTCTCAGCTCTTCCACCAGTCACAGACTTCAACAAAAGCGGCGAAGAGTTCATTCCTGATTGATGATAGAAGACGGGTAGGATTACAGTGCATGCATCCTCACCACTCCCTGATTGATGGAATCCTCCCATTTTCAAGCTTCAAGAGGTTCAGTAGTCAGGACCTGAGTAGTACATGCAAGAGTGAGAATCCCATCTCTGAGCCCATATTTCACGAAGTTATTAGTTTCAAGAACAAAACACGCAAACAATTCAACCGACAACACAGTCAATTCTCCAATCTACAAAGCAGCTAGCTAGCCGAGAGAGACAGAGTCAGCCATGGTGACCGCCTCTAAACCATACGAAGAACGATGGTCCTTGGAACAAGTAGACGAATGTGTCCAACTGTGGAAACTGAGCTTTGAACAAACCGACAAATTGTTAGAGTTCAAGACTCGTGTGGCCGACATTGACCACTGGAAGAACGATCCCTTTGAAGTGGTTCGATTTCTGGTCGAGTTCAAGTTTGACTTGAAAACGACCGAACGCAAGTTTCGGGCATCGATTCAGTGGCGCATCGACAATGGTGCCGACACCATTCTCGAAGACTACACACCGCCGGCCCTCTACAACTATTTTCCTCTGGGAGTACTGGAAGGAGCCGATCGTGACAACGACCCAATATACATCGAAAGAAGCGGTGCTGCTGATACACTCGCCTTGTTGCATCGCTTTGGCAAGGACGAAATGATCAAACAGGCCATTTGGGCCAAGGAACTCATGACGCGAGGACCGTGGCAACAAGAGCAATGGAGACATGGTCGAGTCAAGTACTTTACGACCATTTTGGATTTGAAAGGACTCAATCGACATCATATGAATCCATCTCTGGTTCCAGTGGGGCAGGCTGTCACCAGGTTGGTGCAGGACAATTACCCGGGCTTTGGAAAGGTGAGTTGAGTCGAGTCACTCAGCACTGGAGGCTTTCTATGTGTATCATTTAGTTTTGAGTTTTCAGAGTTCTCATCGTGGCTGTTGCTTTCGGTTTATACTACAGAAAATCCTGGTGGTTCGAGCACCCTACATCTTTCGCTTTGTGTGGAACATTTTCAAACACTTTGTAGACCCCAACGTCAAAGAACTCATCGAAATTGCCACGGAAAAAGAAACCGAAGAAATACTGGAACAGTACATGGACTTGAGTGTTCTCCCGAAAGAGATTGCACCCAGTAAAGGCCAAGGGACATCCGTACAAGGCTATGAAACCATTTGGGAAGGGGGGCCCTTACCTCCGACCAGTAAAGATGATTGGAATCGACGAGCGCCTGTATTCCCACAACAACAACAAAACCCAGCACAAGAACAGCCCATCACAACAGTGCAACAATCCACTTCCAACGCAGAGGTGGAAGTGTCCTTGGCCAAAATACCTTCCATTAAAGCAAACATGTCGGGAAGCACATGTGGCGCATCCGTCTCCATTACATCTTCCACGGACGAATGGGAACGATTGCCACAACCCGCGCTATCCAAAAAGAACATTCAGCAAGCGTGGACTGTTACTCCGTCTCCCGTCTACAATTTAGATGAGGTTTGGCGACAGGATCGCTTGGATGACATGTCGCAGCTGTGGGGATTGACACAGAGACAGCAACAAGACATGCAAGAATTGAGAAACAGAATTCAGGACATTCATCATTGGAAGAACGATCCCTACGAGGTGGTGCGCTACTACGTGGAATTCAAAGGTGACCTAGACCGGTCGGAACACGCCTTTCGAAAAATGATTGTCTGGAGAGTAGAGAATCGAATGGACAACTTTTTGCAACAATACGGAGAACCCGATCCACTCTTTTTGCACATGCCCATGTGCATTTTGCGTGGGACGGACAAGGACGGTGATCCAATATTTCTGGATAGAATTGGCGCTTGCGACTACACCTCGCTGCTCAAACACTTTGGACAGGATGGAGTCACGGACTATGTTACATTTGTCCGAGAACTCAACAGTTGCCGCCCGTTCTGGAAGCCGTACGAATTTCACGTTTTGAAGCAGCAGAGGGTACGAAGCTACACGGTAATCATCGATTTGGAGGGATTGACTCCAGCCCACGCCCGGCCTGCGCTGTTGACACTCTTGAATCGAACCTCTCGGATAGCGCACTACTATTCGGGCTGGGCCAAGCGTATTCTGATTATTCGGGCACCGCCAATCTTTCGACTTGTGTGGGGACTCGTCAAGGGATACTTTGCAGTGCATGTGCGAGATATGATTGAGTTTGCTGGACACCATAGCTATCAGGTCTTGCTGGACAAGTACATCGAGAGAGAAGTGTTGCCTTTCGTTATTTGCCCCGAGGGCAAAGGCGGCCCCATGCCAGGGTACTACGAAGATGTCAAACTCGAAGGAGGGCCAATTCCGCGCGAAGCCTTTGATCGGGTCCCTACTACCGTCAGCTTTCGGCAATCTGCATCCCCAACTACATTCGACAAAAGCCTTGCAAAAGGGGCGTTTGTATGCCAATCCGCCCCCATGGCACCAACGAGTACATGGGATGATGATGATTCTGAAGATCCGCACTCTCCAGTCGCCGCCAGGCGGCTACTAATAGGAACCTGGGAGGCAGACGAGGGCGCACGAAACACCTACGAGCGGAGTGATTCTATCACGACGTACACGTTGACCAAGGGATGATATCCCATTGCTTTCTAGCTACCGGTAGTGCAGTTGTAACCTTTGTAAATGTACCGCTTCGTTCATGTAGTTCGCAGCAACGCTCTGTCCTTGTGCACCAGAATCATTCAATCGATGCCTGGAAAAATCTTGTATCATCACACGTTCACACACACGTTCACAACATTCATGCAACATAACACACGCAAGACTTTCCCTATCATTATTATTATCATCACAACTACTACATCGAAACATGATAGGATCGTCCATTGGGATTGTGAATTGGTGTAACATTGAGGACTTCCCCTCCTCGATGGGTCTTGGCACACCATTCGTACCAGACCCGATGTTGAGCCGGTGTGGTCGCGGTGGCAGGAGGAGCAGGTTGCGTGTATCCCATGTCCGAATCAGTACGACGCCAAAGACTCACTCCCAACGTGGCTCCCGCTGGAACGTTCATGGGCTCTCGGAGTGGAAAGTAGAGTGGGAACCACGAACACATGTCCTTGGAAAAGTTGGCCGGTGCCGTGCTGATTTGTGTGGGTGGATTGGTGGTGCCGCCGGCATTGGCAGTGGTTCCCATGAGATTTTGCACCGACGGATGATTTTCGTCAAACAGATCTGCCGTAAATGTCCCCAGAAATCCATGAATGGTCACGGGCGTTGGTATCGTGGACGTATTGGCTGCCGTGAGTTGTGCCACGGCCGCATCCGCCGGCACCGATCCTCCTCCACAAGCCGCAGCATGGGTAATATCCGGTACAAATTCGAGATGAGCGGTTCGCGTCAATCCCTTGTTGTTGGACGCCATTCCATCGTGGCTGAAATTCCAACAATCCATTTCGACGTGAGTTTGAGCAGCCGAATGACTGCGGACAACGTACTGATGGAAAAAGCAAAAAACAAAAGAAAACGAATGTGAGCTACCCAGCCAATAATAACAAAAACGCAAAATTACTCGAAACTGCACACGTGGGCTCCAATCAAGAGCAGCAATTCTTAGTTCAACAAATACTAATACATACCGGCGTTTCCATGGCCGCCAGCGGTCCCACCGACTGTCCACTAACTTGATTGGTGGTTGTGGAATTTCCATTGGATCCTCCTCCTCCCATGGAAATAATGGCGGGCAATTGTGCCTGGTGTTTGGCTTCACTGTAGAGCCGCAAGGACGAGATGGGCGCCAAATGACTGGTATATCGCATGGGAACACTGAGTGTGGTGGGTTTGCAGACATCACTACTGGCGAGTAGTACTTGCAGACATTCCGGACTGAGTTCATTGTCCCCAAAACTACCCAACAATTCCGAGATGACGACATCGGCCTTGTGTCCTTGTACCAGTCGTGGTGTGACGACACGTACATCTTGATGAACAATCTTGACATTGTATTCTTTCCATTCGTGGTGTACCTTGCTATTGAGGTAGATAATGGCGGATGGGTTCTTTTCAATGGCATATACCGAGAGAGATGGGATGAGCAGTTTGTTGTCGTTGCTATTACTGTCCTCGAGTACCATGGCATCAAAGATACTGGCATTTTGTTGTCGGAATTGTTTCGAGACGAATTCAAAGGCTTCCAATGTGGCCGTGACCAACGGTCCACGTCCCGCTCCGGCCACAAAAACAACGACATGATTGTCAATGGGTTGCTGCTGTTGTTGTTGTTGGTCATTTGTGGTTGTTGAGGACGTCATCATGGCATCTTGTTGTTGCTGTCGTTGTCGTTTTCGCGATTGCAGTACGGTATCAATGGCTCGCAACATGGCACTGCGATACTGTACGTACTTGACGGGATCCTTCTCGAATGTTTCGTACATTTGGAATTCGAGGTGATCGGCAAGTGGCTGGAGTGGTCGTTGAAGCGAATCCAAATAGGGAAACTCCTGTTGTGCGACGGAACTGTCCAATGCTTGAATGCATTCCTGGCGTTGTCGTATATGATGAATGTACTGCAAGTAGGGCAGACAAAAGGTTCCTCCGGCACCCGCTCCATCGGGAATGTCGTGCACGGACGGTCCTTCCACAACGACCCGTAGCGTTCGTCCAATACGACGCAGTGCTTCGGTGAATAGTACTTGATTGATTTTGGCCAATGTTGGATATCCACGTTTATTGGTCAAGAAAACCTTGGTGGGGAAACACAATGCCTTGAGCTGTGATCCAATGGCCTTGTGCAGAAGCGACATTTGCGCCGCGACGGTCGCTCCTGCCGTGTTGGAGTACGAACTGGCACTGGTGGTTCCCATGGCGAGTGGTTCAGCCCACAAGATCATTCCCAAACATCCAGGAGCATCACACAATCTGGTAAGAAGATCGAATTGGAGCAATGCCAAATCCGTCAATGCCACCTTGATCCACAATTGGACGGATGCTTGAGACGCTTCCATACACAAACTCTGCACGGCCCGCGCATAATCCATAAAATCGTTCTCGGCGGCCGGTGGCGCGGGTAAAATAATGGCGGGCAAACTCATGTGGAGTCCCCATTGGACCTGTTTGGGCAATCGCTCCATGGTGACCGACCAGTCGCGCAATTCGGGGCAAACGCCAACGACCGAAGTACGCCACCATTTACTATCTAGAGTGCGAACATCGTCACGACCTTCCAATGAATGTGGAAGCGCGGTCGTCACAAAGTCGTACTCGTCTTCGCGAGCGGCTTTCAACAATGCCGCGGCGTTGACTACATAAAATGAATGAATAGTGAGTGATGAGTGTTCGTCTACGTAGAAATCAGTACTGAATCTACACAAAATGAAATTTTCATACATACCTTGCGACTGAGGAATGGAGAGACCCACCACCAGAGTGGAAGCTCGATCGGCTGCTGCAGCTCCACCACCACCAGTGCTGTTGCCATTTGCATTGGCGGACATGATGATACTGTAGTACTGTAGCTAGTTAGAGAATGAAAGACACGGTTCAATGCTATTGATCGAATGATCTTTTGTTGGCTGTTGTTGTTGCTTTGAGATCGCGATCTTTTTGATTTTTTAGTGGCGGTGGCGCGGCCTTCCTTTTATGACGTCATCAACGGGACTTATAGTCCAGTACATGTATCGCCAGATCTTTGCCTCAAAATCTCAAAATCGACAAACACACTTCTTTCTTTCTGTTTGTGTTGTTCTTTGTGTTGTTGAGAGGAAAGATGTCATCGATCAAGAGCAAGAGTAATACTATCAAACGTAGTAACAGCAACAGTAGTAACAGTATTCGATACAAGGATGAAGTACTGGGAGAACACGTCGTGGTCCAATGGCAAGTGGGCAATACACTGAAACGCAAGCCCATTTTGGGACAGATCTTTGCCCTCAAAATCACATTGCCACGAGCGGCCGATGGAGAAATTCAAGATACAGAAGTGCCGACGGTATTGCATTCCATTCAGTTTACCGATGGAGATGTCGTCGATATGGATCTCCAAGCTTTGGAACGATTGAATCTACTCACGTGGGTCAATTTTGGGAAAGAACCGGGAGCCGCCATGAAGATGAAAAAGAAAAAAATTGTCGCCTTGTCGCAAGTACAACAACAACATGTGCATGTACAACAACCTCCCAAGAAGAAAGTGGGCGCTACTGGTACTACTGCGAGTGGCACACGCAACAGTGCCAACAGTACGGCGAGACAAGCCGCACTGTCCGCTGCGACCAAAAAGACCACGCGAGTACAGCAAGCCAAGGCGCCCTCGTTAAAACCATTGCCGCACAAGAAAAGGACAACAGCAACATCAACAGCAACAGCAACAGCAACAGCTACGGCAACAATACCACCACCGCCGCTTCCTGGCAGAACCGCCAAACCCAAGAAAAAGTCTCCTCCACCAACAAGAGCAGCAGCAGCCACTGCCAACCAGGAGGTGGGAAAGGAGTCTGCTGCTGAAAGAGCCCGTCGAAGACTCAAACGAGCCCAGTTGAAAGAACAATCGGGATTATACGCAAAATACGAAAAACGAACTACTACTACCACCAGCAGTAGTAGTCGAAGCAGTCGCAGACGACAGCAACATAGCAGTGACGAAGACAATGGACCCGATTCGGACGATGAAGAAGAAGAACCCGTCAAGAAAAAACAAAGGGTGGTCGTACCAACCATAAGGAGACAGCAGCAAGCCAGCAACAACCTCAGAAGCAGTCAAAGACGACAGAAAGAACAACAAGAATCGTCGTCCAGTGAAGATGAGAATGACAGGAACAAAAAGCAATCACCGAGGGAAGCGACCACCTCGACAAGGGCGGCGCAACATTCTCCCAATTCGACGTTTGCCAGGCACAACAATAATACATGTAGTGAGACGAGTCCCAACCGACGTCGCGCCGCACGGCCCAAACTGCCGCCACCCAGCAAGGATGTGGAAATCATCGAGCTTTCATCCTCGGATGAAGACGACGATGACGATGATGAGCAACAGAGACCAACTACTGTCGCAACCACCGCACCGGATCCCGTGGCATCGGTCGCTGCGGCCCAAAATGCGCAAGCAGCAGCAGCACAAATGACACCAACTACTACTAGTAGTGCGCAACCAAGACCACAGGGAGAAACACGCAAGCCTCCGCTGGCAACGGCAACCCCACAAAGGATTACCAACCCCTACAGAGCTAACCCATACAGAACAGCAGCAAGTCCACGTACCGGTGAAATAACAACAGCGACTACCCCAACACCGCTGCCAACTAATAATGGAAACAGGAACGGCTCGTCTCAACAAGCGACTGCCAAACCACCTGCAGTCGTACCCATAAAGGCAGAAGAACCAGCCACAGAGTTGGATACCAACAAAGCGTCGGATACAAGTCAAAAACTACTGGCGGAAAAACAGCAGACAACAACAACAAGTACTGCAAGTCCACAGACAACACGTACGGAGGATCGTACACCACAACCAACACTTGGGCGCAAGCAAACGCAACAGGAGCAACCTACAGTACAAAAGAAAAAAGCACCACTGATGCAGCAACAGGCAACGCCCATTATTGCACAGCAACAAAAGCCAAATGAGCAGTCAACAACACAGCTACCAACACCAACTGAAGAGCCAGCACAACAGCAGCAGCCAACTGAAGAAAAGTCAAAGGAAAAGCAACCATTTGCAGTCGTGCAGCCCCCAGGAAATCAAAGTGTACAGGCCACACCAGGACGAGATCATCAAAGGCAACAACAGGAACAACCTGCATCACAAAAGAAAAAAGCACCACCGATGCAAGTGTCCACACCAAATACACAAAATGAACAGCCAACACCGGTGCGAGCGCAAGCGCAAGCGCAGACACAAACTCAACGTCCAGTGCAACAACTACTGGTGGAGAAACCAAGGGAAAAGCAAACTCAAGGAAGCACACGGGTAGCATTTGATGTCGTACAGCCCGCACGGAAGCAGCAATGCGCAAAGGCTGCACAAGAGCCAAGGCAGCAGTCTGCTGACCCCACGCCACAAGGGCAAAACCAGCAAGCAACTCAAAAGTCAGCAGCAACGACCAGTATTCAGCCTGCACAGATGCCAAACGAAAAGCAAAAGGAAGTGTCAGCCCAACAGCAAAAGTCAACCCAACAACAACCCATATTGAAGAAGAGTCCACAGCCTGCGCAAGTGCCACATCAACCACCACAGATTGCACAGTCGCCGTCACCGATGCCGGGCGAAAAGGAAAAGGAACTGTCAACCCAACAGCAAGAGCCAATCCAACCCACATTGACGAAAAGTCCACAGCCTGCGCAAGCGCCACATCAACCACCACAGATTGAACAGTCGCCGGCACCGACGCCAATCGCAATGCAAAAGGAACTGTCCACCCAACAGCAAAAGTCAACCCAACGACAACCCACATTGAAGAAAAGTCCACAGCCTGCGCAATCGCCGCATCAACCAACACAGATTTCACAGTCAACTCAACGGCCAACACCAGAGCAAAATGCAGAGGCGATTCAGGAGCCAAGGAAGGACCCAGTAATTCAGCAATCAAGCCAAAAGAAAAGCCAACCGTCAAGACAAGAGCAACCTGAACAAGCAGGTCACCAGCCAAATCAGCAATCGGCTCAAAGTGGACAGCAAAATCAGCAGCCAGGTACGATGGCACCGGAAACCGCCAATGACAATGATACTCGTGCACGCATTGATGCAGAAACATCTCGCAGTTCTGCTGCACAGCAGGCAACAAGTCAAAGACCCCAACCTACAACCGGCCAAAAGGAAACGGGTACCACACCACCCTTGACAAATGCCAGCGCCAACGCTGAACAGACTACTACTGCCGACGCACAAGGACAGGAACAGGTACCAAATCAGCACTCGACTAGCGATGATACTGACGACGGCCAAGACGCAACTACTAGTCAACAAGGGAAGCAACAACCAACAAACTCTGTCCCATGCACTGCAGCCGCCGGCATTCCCGATGATTCTTTGTCAGTGGACACAACTAGCACGGAAGAGGATGCGCCGATTACTCAAGTGCCCCAGCAAGGACAAGACGTCATTGCGAATCTGCCGGCTCTTTCATCAACCCTATTCAGGGCCTCCCGCCAAGAAAGAGGAGCGAGAGATGATAATTCAACGTCCTCCAGTACTACTTTTGCAACGGTCGAAAACTACCAGGCACCGGAAGACACGTTTGGCGCGCCACCGCAAGACGAGTTGAAACAACCGGCAGAACAACAACTCTTCATTCCGGACCCACCAGAACAGTCAGCTGTAGTTCCAATGAACCTACAGCTTGTCCAGTGTTTACGTGGCAATGCTATGACGCAAAACTTGCCTCGTGGCTGTGTTGACTTTCACGACTTCTTGACTACTGTCAAATATGGGCAAACCGATGAGGAATTCGAAGAAACCAAGCTGTTCGCGTCCATAGTCGAAAGGCAAGCCAAGAAGCTGTTTGAGGGTGGTGGCATTGAATACTCTGGGTGGAACAAGGAAGCTGTATTTTATAAAGGGAAGAAGGTGAATCTTTCATTCAACTTTCATCAAATGTACCAGGAAGCCATGGTGTTTCAAAAGTTGAACGGTCGAATCGGTCAATCACACCAAGGCAAATTCGTGGACAATCACTGGATTCTGAAGAATCCGATTCTGAAACTACAGGATTACAAAAAGTATTTGATGGACCAGATGAAAAAGGGAGAGCTCACTCCAGCGCCAACCTCTAGCTAGATCTATATTCGCCCCCCTATAATGTTTCAAAACTACATGGCCTGCTGGTGTATCGGTACGGTAGAGTTGGCAGTATTGCCGTTGTGTGCCAAATGATGCCTAGACAAGGAAGTCAGGAAGGCAATCTCAGGTGGAACATATTATGGTGAAAGATCAGAATGTTGGAGGTCCCCATTGGCAGATAAGGAATTCTCCCATTTTGTAGCACCTGTTGCGTGTTTCAAAGACGCAGGTTACTTTGGTCATGGAGAGACAGGAGGACGGGGCATTATGGTTAGCCAAGAGTTACCATCACAAAGAAATGCTGCATTCTGGAGGATGTATCTTTGTCTTGACATCTTCAATCCATAGAAGTCTTTGTGTCGGGATATCTCCTCCCAATGGTAAGAAACTCTTCAAACAGCACAACATGTGAGGGCTTCTGCCACATGGTCCTCACCTTGGAGGCAATCCGGCGCGCCGTTGCACGGCCACTTGCAGCTCTGCTGATTTAATTCTACAAGTTTAACCCCATAACCCAAACTAAGATCTTTTCAGGCCATCAACAAAACAACCGAAGCAAGACAATACGAGAAGTCTGCCACAAAGACAAAGTTTCCGAGCGCAGTGTCGAGTACAGTGCAGTACAGGCAGAATCAGCAAAGAAGAAACCAATCCTTGTGGCTGTCCGAGCGACGCGACACCAATTGAGGAGAGATTGATCTGCTGGTACCAGAATGCGTTGGAGCCCCAAAAGATCTTTCCCAAGCCATTCCGTATTTTCATATCAGTTATTATTAGTGATTTCCTTGCTGGCTTCTTTTCATTGCTGCAACGCTTGGATACCCACAGTAGTATCCTCCCCTCGTCGCCACGCCTTCTTGCTATCCAGCACTACTGCTAGTAGCGGTACCACGATGGGTGCTTTGAACTCTAGACAGCAATCTGCATCTCCCAGCCATACTAACAACAATAATACTATCAGGGACAGTGTCCGAGAAAGCATCCAGAGCGACAATCACGAACCGCACAATGACGACAATATCTTTGATCGCAATCGTCACAATCACAGTCAAGCCGATACGGTCGATACGGCTTCCACCGAAGATTGGGATAAAGTGGTAGAACGGTTCAAATCACAAGTCTTGGATGAAAGCTACATTGTATACCCCATTCGAGGATCCACCATTGAAGCCGCCGATCAATATCCCACTTCAGCACAAAACTTGTCACTCGATCGGGAATATCTCATGCCGGGGACACACAAACACTTGGGAGGTGCCTACGATCCCACCGATGGATGCATCTACGGAGTCCCCGCCAATTCCCGATCCGTCATGTGCATCTATCCCACTACTACCACTGGCAACAGTAATAAGGAAGAAGAATACCTACTCAAAAACATTCCCTTGCCCAAGGAAATTCAAGATGTCCGCATGAAATGGTTACGGGGGATCTTTGCACACGGATATTTGTGGGCCATTCCCAGTTGGGCTCCCAAGGTACTCTGTGTCGATGTCGATGCCTATTGGGGACGCCGAGAGGCATCCGTCAATGGGATTGTCCAATTACTTGACTTGCCCGCAGAACACCCTCGCGATCAAATTTGGCAATGGCACGGTGCCGGACTCAACCACGAAGCGACGGCCATTTATTGTATCCCGTCCAATGCGTACAAAGTCCTAAAAGTCGATCTCACCACCAAGACCACATCCCTGATTGATGTCGAAATCAACAAGGAAAAATATCCCGATTTGGATCTCAACACCACCACCAACAAATGGTACGGGGGCATTGTGGGAGCGGACAATGCCGTCTATGGTATACCCTACAGGGCCGGCGCCGTCTTGAGAATTGATTGCAAGACCGACACGGCCAAGGTCGTGGGACCCAACTACGGATGTGGTCTCTACAATTGGCACGGGGGAGTTTGTGTCAATGGCAAAATATACGCCCATCCCAGTCATGCCGAAACGGTTCTCCAAATTGACACCAATGCCATTGACGGCGGCACCAACGAACCTGCCATTTCCGAACTCACAATTCACCGGGCATCCTACGATACGGACGATCGCAAAAACTACAAATGGTTGGGTGGATCAGTCGGTGTCGATGGCAAAACCATTTTTTGTCCCGCCTGCGATACATCGGCCGTGCTGCATATCGACACGGAAACGGATCATTGTCGGACGTTTGGATTTGCTGGAAAGATGAAGAATAAATGGCAAGGAGGTGTCTTGTCCAAAACACGGGATGGGTGTATTTATTGTATCCCCGCCAGTGGAACGCAAATCTTGAGGATTCCAACACATCCCGATACAGGAGCACCCAACAATGAGGTGGTCCAACTGATTGGGGATTTACCAGTTCATAAGGTGGGTGTGCTCGATCAAATATGTCGTGGCTTCTTGTCACAGTTAGTTGACGTAGTTTTTCTCACTCACTCACTCACTCACGCTCTTTTCCGTATCATATTTTTGTTGGTTTCTTGAACAGGATAAATGGCAAGGCGGCTACGAGGGGAAAGACGGCTGTCTCTACTTTGTGCCTGAGAATGGATATCGCGTTTTGAAAGTGACACCACCTGCCAAACCGCCCAAAATTGTGAACGGAAAACTACCCGACAATGATGTGGAAATTGAATTCATGTAGTACTGGTGCCAGTGACTGAAAGGTTCCAGTCGTCTGTAAATAACAATGGAAAACCAATTTGCCACAGTAGATCTACCGTATTCGCTCAGCTGAAGAGAGCCAGACACGGTTTGTTTGCTGGACACGTTTGTTTTGGGTTCCTTGGAGACTGAGTTGGGTGCTTTCCGTGCACACCGTCAAAGAATGCTTTGTCCTTTCTGAGAGTTGTCTCGTGTAGGCAAGGGCAGCAATGTAGACCGCTTGTGAGGCCTACTCGAGTTTCCCAAATAAGTGGCTAATGCCTCGTCCCAACCAATCTTTCTACATGCTAGCCACCGGGACCACACTCAGATGGTGTAAATAATGATCCAATCAAACATCACTATTACTCAACGGCCAAGCCAAGTGGTAAGTAGGCGTAGCAATTGCTCCTGAAATTTATCTGGCTAGCTAGCTAGGACTTATCCAATTGTCTCATCTACCAGGAGTAGTTCCACCTGAAGCGGCAAGAGGGTGCCTACAGGGCAAATCTCAACCATCCTTTGTAGCTGAAGCAATCACCAAAACCTTCAAGAAAAACCTTCAGGCCTGTTACAGGAAAATTCTCAACACCTGACGGATTGATTCATCGATGGTCTTGCCATGCCCGTGGCTGATGCTTATTGCTGCAACTTCATGCGGGTAGTAGATTGACGCTTCCATGCATGCAGTCAGTAACTCAAAACTGCGTCTCTGCTCGCAACGGAAACAAATGCTTGGCTGCGAGAATCATGATTTGGGTCCATCGAGAAAAGGAAAGACACGACAGAATACATGCCAGACACACCAAGCGTATCCGTCGTTTTCCAGTAAATCGAATGAAGAGAGACAAAATAAATGCCAATTCAAAAGAGACCAAACTCCACAAGAAGGACTCCAAGGCACTTTCTCGAATGTTGGTTGTGGCGGCCCAAAATGCGAGAAATGGTTCGTCCAATCCTCTTCCAAGAGCTGTTTTGGAGTACAAGGAGATCAACCCAAAAACAATGGTCGTGTACGATCCCGACAAAATGGAAATGGCGGTGGCACTGTAAAAGCAATCGAGCGCTCTTCGATCGGTCCATGACAATTCTGTTTCTTGTTTGGGTGAGTTGGTGGAAGAGTACAAGCGCAGACATCCATTGGTCAAGAGGGCCGTCAATGTGGCATAGACTTGCAGTCCATCCAGTCTCATACGGACCCGTCCGAGATCCAATGTGGATGTATGATGCCGGGCAAAGAGTTCCACGGCCGCGGCACCGCCACGGGCAATGCAAGTCACCAGTGCCTCATTATTGGAAGCCGCCGATAGGGCCATTGGAATCCTGACCGTTTCGACCCACGGATGGGTCTGTGGCGGATGGATGCCCGACAAAGATGATGGTAGGATCATCATGGTCTCTTGTGAATGCAAAAAGAAATAGATGGCGGTGGACGAGATTTGAATTCAAAATTCAAACTTTGTATTTGACGTTTTGAATTTTCTAAAAAGAAAAATCGAAGTTTGTGCAGAACCAGAGGGATTTATGAGAAGGAATATTAATAGATTCAAGCTGTTTCTGAGACTATTTAAAAAATAGTAATAATATTGTCCATTAGCATGTATTTAAATGCAATTTATTTAATCAGACTTTCTTTTGATGACTATTAATTAATTAATAAGAGATTTAATCCTTTTAAAAAACAAACTCAAAGAGTGAATTTGAAAGCCTTGATGTTTCGGAGGGCGCGTGCATTTGGGCGGCACGGTTCACTCACTTCTCCCTTCCCAATCAATTAGCATGAACCAAATCCACATTGTAGTTGAGGAGGGAAACAGCTCCACCATGGCGCTCTCAACGTTGACACTCCCTGACTTGGCCGAGGGCCACATTGGCGACTTGATTCTTCACTACAGTTACTCTATAGTAGCTGGGATTTTGGACGATAAGGAGGAGATGGAAGAGCATTGGGATGCACTCCATTACTTTTGGCACAATGTGTACCCTCAAAACAAGCAAAGCCTCCATGGCCGTTTGTCCAATCGCGTCAAGCTGGCCGACATTGTCATGATGGCCACTCACGTGGATCCCTACAGTACCACTGATGAAGCTACTACTTTGCCGCACGAAAAACCGCTCATTCGCTGGAACCGTCAAGATTGGGATCTCTTGGAAGAAAAGCTGGAAGACGCCCACACGAGTTTGTTGCGACGAGATGCCAACAACACGGTCAATCACGTGGATCAGGAAAATCCAGAACCGCATCCATCGCGAGCCAAGTACGACATGTACAACAATGAGTACACGCGAGTTCTCAAACAGATTCATGTCAGTCGAGCTATCTGTCCCATTCGACACTTGTTGGAGGCGGATGTCAACGAGCAGAAATGGGATTTTCCAAGTATTGAACAGGAACAACTCGAGGAACTCAAGTGAGTACTCTTATTCATTCCTTCGTCTTTTCCGTCATTATTTCATCTCCTCGCTGACATTTATTTTTCCTTCGCTATTAATTGCAGAAGCTACGTTGATGCCATGGACCATGGCCGGATTAAAAAATTTCTAGAGGAATTCCTGGAAATGGACGGGGAAGAAATTATTCTAAATGTCGGGAAATTGAAGGCCGAATACCACCGCCGACCCTTCAACTTTCTAAAGCTGCAAATCGACATTGTCGCGCTCTTGAAAGACTGGAGCGAGGATGTCTTTACAACCATGGCTCCTCCTCTCACACAATTCTACGCTCAATACGAAAGCCAACAACACGAGAGCAACAACAATTATCAGGAGGGCGATGATAGTTCTACTACTGACGAGAGTAATACGGAGAACCAACCTCCGGTGAAATACAAGAAAAGAAGGGCGCGCAAAGACATGGCCAATGACAAAGAGGTTGACGATGATAGTTCGCGGGACAATCGGAAACCGGCTGCCAAGTCTTCTTCTCGACGAAAAGTGCAAAATATGCAACACGCTCGGACGGTTCTAGGCGAGGCGGTAGATGATCCCCTCGAAGCAACATACTCAGTGGCATCGCGTGCCGGTCGTTCACCACACAACAACAATATACAAGACGACTCGAGTCAAAGAGACGAAGAGGAACCCCTTGCAAAAGAGCGCGGATCCAGCAAAAAGCATAAAGGCAAGCACAAGAAAGGAAGGATTATTGACACGGACGAGGAAGAAGAAGAATCGCTGGCCAACAAAAAACGCCGCAAGGTCGGGAGTGGCAGAAAAAAGAGAAAAGACGAAATCTGGGACGAAGACTCGGACGGTGATCAAAAGGTTGGACTGTCGTCGTTGCCAAACCACCCCAAGGCCAAAGGACCTCGAAAACAGCGAAGGTTCTATTCCTCGGAAGAAAAGCAAGCTCTACGGGAAGGAATCAACGAGCATGGAGTCGGCAAATGGAAAGAAATTCTGGATGACCACAGCGAAGTGTTTCAAGGAAGAACTTCGGTGAATCTCAAGGTAAGCATGAATGAAGCGCTGAAGGATTGGTTGAGTATTGATGAATTGACATGCACTAATGGCGCCTGGATTTGGCAGGATCTTTATCGTACCATGACCAAGAATGGCGAAATCTAGTTTGTTGGGACGTGTAGATTGGTCACTGTATGCATGATACTTGTTTGGTGTGTGCTTGTACAAGGGCCGTTGATGTTTGGTGCAAAATCAGCAGCTAGCTGTGAGGTCGCTGCTTCTTGGGAAATTAATGGAATGGATAGCACCGAATAGATCCAGGATGTATAGGCATGGATACTAGTAGATGGCCTTTTATATTCGTGTGCTTTAGCTAGCTACATCATGTAAACACTCGGAGGGCACCCAGAATGGGGGCCGAAGACCTCACTTGCTTCCTGCTCGTACATGTGGTACTTCTGTGTTGAAGCAGGTACATCGTAACAGCTCTTTGCACGTAGCTACCGGTAGAGGAACTCCTTGTTGCCCTGGATGAGGCCTCGAGGGAGTGACGAGTCAGAGTCTTCCTGGACGCCCAACCACCGGCTGAAGATCTAGATGACATGGGCACTTCGTGTGCTGCCTGGTGGGGCAGGGTTTGAACACTGGGAAGTCTCCTGACAACACCGGTATCGGGCCCTGCAAAGGATGACGGGACCAATGCGGCGAGCTACATGCTTGGGTCTCCTTGGTGGATCTTGCCTCGGAAGGCAGCTTTTTGAGAGTTCGTTCTGTGAGAAGCTGCCCCCTGGACAGATTTTGACAGAGCTATCAGCACTGTTTGAAGCCCACACCAAAGACAGAGGGGATGGTGGCTGGCAATGATGTAGTTTACCAGACTTCCAAGGCCTGTTGAATTGAGTGGTTGTCACGTCGTCATAACACACAAGCAACGATCCTTCCTTCCGGATGGTGAGCTGCAAAGGGAGGTCACCTTGATCTTTTGAAACATTGGCTATAATAATGGGAAGAAGAAAATAATGCTACTGGTAACTATAGATGTAACGTGCGTACAAAATGATGACTTCTAATGAGAGTGCTACGGTACATGATGTATGTATGGAGCTAGCTACCGGTGCTTGCATCTTGTTTGTTGATTGCTTGATTGACAGTGTGTTTGCTTCAAGGCTGATGGCCTCGTCGTTCTTGGTTGTTTCAGTGATTGCCATGTAGTGCTGTTTGCATGTTCAAGGCGTCGGCCCTCGTCGTTCTCCACGAGTCTCTTGGCTCATTTGCTTTGCCATGGCCGCCTGCGACGCTAGGGCCACCTTTAGAATGTTGCGGGCTGCCCTGGCATCCAAACTGCATTCTCGACTAATAGTGCCTTCGCAGTCCAGATTGAGTCGTTCCAACTCTTCAATCATGTCCGTCATTTCTCCCACGTCGCATTCTCCATCCTCGGCACACTGCACAATCCGATCCAAATCCGCTTCTTGCAGGGCGGCCGTTGGGATTTCCTGCATGGTGCTGTCGTGGTATTCATCCTCCATATCCATCATGGAAGCATATGGATCTTCCTGTTCACTCGTCTCTTGAAAACGCATGACATCCTCCATCATGACCTTGGAAGCCAAGGCCACCTTCAAGACGTTGCGTGCTGCCACAGTGTCGAGTTGGCATTCCCTCGAGCCAGATGTTTCGCTGGTGCACTCTTCATTGAGACGTTCCAGTTCTGTTGTTGTATAGATGCAAGGTTTGAAGCAAGGAACCAACAAGATGAAGAAAGGGAAGGTTGGTGTGAGGGTGTCAAATTCGTCTGAAGGCAAGCTTCTCATTTATTTGCTTACCATCAATCATGTTCATCATTTCTTCCACATTGCATTCTCCATGTTCCGCACAGTCCACCACATGATCCAGGCGAGAGGCAGACCCTGCCATGGGAATGGCATCTGTGGGGATCTTTTGCATCTGAAAGTAAGCATAGGGTTCGTCGTCGACCGCACGCGAATAGACCGATGCCAAGGTATCGTCCTCCTCGTTGCTGTCGGCAGTGGCAGCCAAGGTCGTCTTGACAGAATAACGGGTGGGAATGGTCCAAGCAGACACCCGATGAGCAACCAAAAGGATGCCGAGAGACCACGTCAAGAAAACCGATGAAACCATTGTCAAGCAAAGTAAAAAGGAAAATGAAAGAGTGTCAGAAAACTAGTGTCACTAGCTAGCTAGAGTGCTGTCTAGCTAAGATTATGATTGCTTCTTTTTCTTTCTTGATCAAGTCTTCTTCTGTTTGGCTTTGTTGGGAAGGCGACAAGTAAGTAAGATCCAACCGAAAAAAGATACCATTTTGGATGTCATTGGGGGCAATTGAATGAGGGCAATGTCTTTGGTCTTCGACCCAGCTGTTTGCCGTCAAAGGATTCTGGTCCCTATCCTTAAGGTTTTAGATATGACGTCATACATTTCAAAACCGCTTCCGATGAAAAGCTTCCGGGGGAATGAAATGATTGCCACGAGAAAAAGCGTTCCGATGAGCTGGTTGAAAAAAGATGATGATGGAGGTGGAGGACGGTGATGCTGTGATGCTCAGACTGTCTAACGCCGACATCGAACCTTCGGTGCAGCCATCATCATAATAGAAGAGCCATCACAACTACCAGTGTTATTGATCTCCATCGCAAGTTTCTGTCTATTCATTGACAATGTGCCGACCGGACGAGACAGAGGAAGGTGTTATTCCAGAAGATGACCATCTGCAGTACATGCTCGGCTGCCTGAGCGACGAAGAATTGGAGATTGCCGCTCGGACGAGTTACCAGTACGCCAAAGAGGGAGGCAATGAGGAAGTTAGAGACAAGCATGCCATGGCCATGGCCCGTCGGTATTTGAAATCGAAAAAGAACGTCGACAAGGCCCTGGACTACATGAAGGCTACGATTCAGTTTCGCAGCGACATGAAGATTGACCGGCTCCGGACTGTCTTTGATGGCAAAGATCTAGGTCACCACCAAGACGAGGAGAAGACACCAACAAGTGACGACGAGGACGTCGATTCCAATCCCAATGTGGATACTGAAAAGTTTGCGTCTCAATTGGAAAGCAGGCTATCCTCCAAGAAGAACTTTGTCATGGGGTATGACAAGGAAGGACGGGCTACCTTTCACTTCATTCCACGATGTACGCAGCACCACGACCTAGAGTGGACCATGCTGGAATCCATTTATACCATGGAGAGGGCTATTGCCTGTAGTGAACGGCGTCGTGGAGACGGTTCCATCAATGCCATGATTGATTGTGCCGGATTGAAGCAGTGGGCGCACACTCCACCCATGAATGTGGGAAAGTACTTTCTCAAAACACTCCGACGGCACTACATTGGACACATTCAAAAGATCTTTATCCTCGATGCCCCACTGGGGTTTGCCTGGCTGTGGAAGATTCTCTCGCCCTTTGTAGGGACTGCCACTCGCAACAAGATTGTCTTTCTCTCGGGTACCGATGAGAAGATGTCATATCTGAGCGGTCCACAGTGTTACTACGAGGAGAGCGAAGCAGCGCCCTGGATGTTGGAGAGTGGCAAAAAAGACCGAGAGTTGGATATGCAGGAGTACCTTTACAGGACACCCTTTGATCGTGCCTTTGATGATGCATGATATAGAATGAATGAATAGATTTACTTTGCTTCTTTGCAACAAGTTAAAAAAAAATGTAGTCGAACAACCACCACATTCCCTCTCAAGAAACTGTGTACTGAGCAAACCGAGTGACCTAGACGTTGTGTGGCCTGACCAGTTAAGAACCAGTTAGGAAAGGATGCGCACAACCATCGGCAAGTACGGTAATGTATCTCGAAGCCATCTTGCTGCCCGTGCTTTTTGATTGGGGTAGCTAGTAGGAGAGGCACTGCACTACATCACAGCAGACTAGATCTTTGTATCTCAAGTACTTCTACTATTACAGTTTTAATAAAGAAGCTATATTTTCGCACAGATCGCCTGTACATTCTGTGGCGCCCCGTCTTGGGCTGCTTTGCTTCGGTTTCCTACTTTGCTTCCGTAGCTATTTGATTGCCTTCGTTTGGTTTCACTCAGTGCTTAATAGACACCAGCTTGTGCCATATCCAAGTCTCCACTGGCCATGACATCGTAGACACACATTTCCATGTGAGCGATATCACCACTGCGGAGGAAGGAGCAGGCTTCTTCGGCTTGTTCTTGAGCGACAGTTTGTTCACCCAAACGTCTCTGTTCGGCCTTGGCAGAGGGCAAGATGCACTTTTGTCCATTGGCGTGTTGGGGTTCACGTTCGGCAGCAAAGAGCATAGCCTCCGTGTCCAAGACTTGCCATTCTTGTCCGAAGTCGTTGTTGTCCTCAATGACGGTCTTTCCGTCACGTCCGTATCGGATACCGGTCTGGTACTCTCCCATCAAACCGACCGAAGTTCCAAAGTTCTCGGCACTGGCACCTTCAATCTTGACCGAGACCCAGTCCTTGAAGGTGGAGATCTCGAGGTATTCGCCTTCTTTTTGGAGTTGGATGAAGAAGACGTGCTTCTTCTTGCTGATAATGTCGTGGTCGACCTGGAAGTGTCCCATCTTCTTGGGCATGTGGGCATCGGCAACTCCGTTGAATTGGTAGTATCCCCAGGCGGAGACTTCGAGAACGTCATCTCCGATTCGGACGGCAGCGCTCTCGACGAAAGAGTAGTCGTAACGGATCTTGGTTCGGAGGTGGATGGAGAGTCCAAGGCCTTCTCCGAACTCGGGAGCATCGACAAAGAGCAAGTCGCACTGTCCGTGGTAGTCATAGTAATCTCCGTTCCAAAGCTTCATGTGAGGATCTCCACCGCCTGATGATATTCATAGAAAAAGACAAGACACTTGTGAGTGAGCTGCAAAATGGCCAAGACAAGATCCCACTCGCATATCTCATCTTTAGCACGGCAGCAGAGTACTTACAAGAACCACCACAGTCGTAGGTGCAGTCTCCGGTGTCGCACACGAATTGGCAGTTTCCATCAATGTATCCCTGACCAGCTCCTCGGGGGTTGCGGATGGCTCCGGCGCCGGGCAAGAAATCGGGAAGCTTTCGGTTGCGGTTGTTGTGGTTGGCGACAGCATGACCATTGTTGCTGTTCAAACTGTCTCGGTCCACAGTGATGGCGTTCCAGTGGTGGGCGTTTCCGTGACAAATGTTGATCTTGTGGCATTCGGGAGAGGAACCTTGCAGCCTTCGGCCGTTGCTGTTGCCGTTGCTGTTGCCGTTGGCATTGTTACCAGTGGTGGGGGAAGCGTCGGTGGTGGGATCGGTGGGGGAAACGTTGGTGGGATCGGTGGGGGAGGGATCGGTGGCGCTGTTGCCTTGGCCATTGTTGCCTTGGCCATTGCCATTGCCACCGCCGCCGCCGTTGCTGCAATCAGACCATGGGTCGGCTCCGTTCTTGCAACCCTGGAAGGGAGTTTCCTGGCCTGGATCATTGCAATCTGGCCAAACGGTAACCTGGTCCAGAGTGAGGGCTCCACCTGGGATAACGACGCTTGCAAGCGCCGAAGGAGCAAAGATAAGAGAGGCAAACAAGGCGGACTTCATCATGATGATGTTGGTTGTTGGAGTGTTTGTTGGTTTGTTGGTTGGTTGTTTCTCGGTTTGTGAGAAAGGAGAATTGTGAGAAGATGTATGATGAACAAGCTTAGTAAGCTCGCGGGGTATCGATCGTAGGTCTGTATGTACTAGTAGGAATGACTCGCACTGGTGATATTTGCCTGGCAAAAATCGACCGGTACATTGCCCTATCCCGCTTTTAACGCAAAACCCAGGCATCCGAGATTGGTCGCACTATTACTAAATCCGAGAGGCGCTTTCGGATGGGTCATCGGGCGGAAATATTGGTCAAATATTCAGGAACGGAAGGAGATACCGTACCTTTGCTTTGGTCCTGGAATGCAAATTGGGGAGACAGTTTTCTTAACAAAGAGGTGATAAAATAGATTTTTTTCTTATTTGCTCCCAGAGTTGAATATGTTAGGCAAGGGAGCAAACATCAACTTTCATGGTTTGGGCAGTTTCTGGGCTCCAAGTAAGTCTCCCCAGTATTCCAAGGGTGCGTTGTACCCCAACTGGCCATATCTTAAGGCCCGTATCTCAGCCAAAACTCAACCTTTTTCGAAAATTTTTGTTGGGAATGATATCTACTCTTTTAGTAGAAGTCAGAACTGTCTATTATCTTCAAGATAATAGGATTTCTAGAACACCCATATTGCTAGGTGGGTAGCTTGACAGGGTATAACTACCCGAAATATGGTGGGGCAAATCAATTTTGAGTTTTTCCCCTTTTTTCTAATTTATTAATCTAAACATCCAAAATGAAAAATTTTGAATATTTTTTCTATATGACACCACTTTACCAAAGGTACGGTAGTGGGCTTATAGATGCAAGCAACAACTCGTGAAAGCATCACATTTAACAATTTCGGTACGAAAACGAAAACGTATACATTGGTATAGAGAACAAGAGTACCGCTTTGATCATCGTTAGGTCCACTTAAAAACGACTATTTCTGGTGTACCGGTGCCAGTATCAACTTTTCTACAATTTCCTTTCACGAGTTTCTTTTCCAAAATTCGTCTGGACAAGATGCCCTTCGTCTAACTACAACTTGATCAATAAGTAATATTTTCACCTTCAAATGAGACCACGATTGACACTATTGACATTCCGTCAAGTCATTTCGCAGTGCACTGGTTACACTGGTATGATCGATGAATGATTGAATCAGTTACACCCGTGTACCGGTATAGTTCGAAAATATCATCCCTTGTGAATTAATTGTTGCCTACGCTTACGGGACAGTACTAGGTAGCACAAGCAAGATAGAGTATTGAATCATTGAATTTGAATACGCTTATACATAGAATTTTGAAATATTATGTATACTTTTTCAATAGTTTGATCCTATTGTACCTGGTACAAATGTGTGACTCGGAACTGCGACTTCCAGTGCCTGTGCTACCTGTAGCAGCTCTATAGCTCTAGCTAGCAAGCACAGATCACAGACGCCTTCGCAGATCAAGATGCCTTTTAGCTACGGTAGCTAGTAGCACCTGGTAGGGGCAAGTTGTACCAGGCTGCCAGGCTGCCACTGGTATTCATGAACACAAAGTACTGGCACCGCGAGAGGGAGGATCTGCAGTTTCGCCGATTCTTGCTGGTTTGCATTGTAGCTTGCTGTTGTATGCAGGGATCCGAATTGAAGCTTGAGCCTGAGTCGAGTGTCAGTCACTCGCCGCACCCACAGCTTCCTTCACACGTTGCAGACTGCAGACTGTCAATAAACGTGGCCGACAGTCGACAGTGCAGAATGAAGGCAGCTTTCTCAAACAGAACAACAAACAAATTTTCCTACTACAGCGAGCTAGCGAGGCATGATGAGGACTTGGGTCCGGATTTATTAGCCGGTATGGTAAACCTAGTGAGAAAGGGAAAAGAGCTCTAAAAGTGGGCTTCCTAAATGATGCTTCGGAGGCTCGTAAACCTGACGTAGTCGAATAGTAAAAAGTAAATGGGATGCTCCCGTTCCTTGAGAACGGAGTACGGTAGCCAGCGTGAATCGGAGGCGCACGGTGCACGGCCGAGGGAGAGCCGCATCCAGTCAGGTTGTGTTCGTTTGCGGCTTCAAACCATCTTGATCTTCGTAAGTTAACATGGCTTCAAACCAGCTTGATCGAACAAGGTCAATCAGAAGTAGTACGATGTAAAGTGCACGGAGCCCCGATCAGCTTTGCACGTACGTACTCCAGAGCAAAGGATGCTTTCCTTTGGCAGTTTCCTCTACTACTACCGGTAGCCAGGACTAGAATGAACGGAGCAGGCTGAGACACGGTTGAACTCCGTTATCAGCTACCGCTACCGGTAGAGCAAAGGCACCCGTTTACGGCTAGCTAGCTAGAGTTGTAGCTTCCTCAAACCACTGAACTGGTTGAACGGGAACTGGCAAGTTGCAGAGTCGATCCAAAAGGTACCAGGTCGCGAATGCCCTGGTTTGGCTAAATCCTCCAAAGGCTGAAAGAAGGTCGAACGGCCGGGAGTTTGCAAGTCGGTCTGGGTGCATGCATTGGAGTAAAGTGTGTTTGCGTTTTTCGTTCAAATGCTGCCGCTTTTGCCTGCAGTATTGATCCCTTTTGTCTTATTATTCGAACTAAGTGCAATGGCTCGATGGCAGGCAAAAGAACAGAGACGAGATTCTGCTTGCTGTCTAGTAGTAGTTATGTATCGGCCGGAGCAGGATGCACCGGTATGAAGCAAGCCGACACGCAGAAGTGTGGCCAACTGCGGTACCAGTGGCTCCACAAAGCCAAGCAGCGCTTCAACAGTCAACACTAATTGTTGGTGCCCATGGGCGCAACGTGATGGACCCTCGTCATATGCATTACATGTACTTCTAGTAGCTAGCTAGTAGTGCCAAATCGTTGGAGTGCCGGGAGTGCCGGGAAATCCCGCGTGTCGATGAACTCCCACATGTCAGTCATGGTTGACCAGTCATGGTTGCGATCTTTCCTTGCTGACGGGTGCTGCTGATCACATCTTTATCCCAGCCTGAGAACTGGACTGCCTTTACGAACAGCCATTTTGAACGCTGATCACCCTGACATGGAAAACGAAAACAAAACAGAACGGCAAAAGAAAGAAAGGCCATGGATGCAACGACGGCGACAGGAGTTCGAAGAGCGCTGCCGAACGTCAGATCGTCAAACCGAACGGTGGACTCGCCACCAGTTTGATTGGGACTTGGACCTCCAAGGGCACAGCCGCAGGAGAGGTCCTTTAGAAGAATGCCGATATACAGTGACAGTTTGTTGGGAACTCTGCCGTCGCGGCCGCGCCCAGCCTCAACACCAATCTAATACTTTCTCCCTTATGACATCAATGTTGTCGCCCGAGTTGTGCCGACGCATTGTGTCCGAGGCTTATCCCCTTCGGCCCAAAATTCAGTCCGGATTGTACGTGGGTACCAATGGTGACTTCTATTACCTTTTGTATGTTTTCGGTCCTAATTCCAGTCGTGCCAAGTTGATCTGGAGGTTGTTTCATCATAACTTTGACGTGGATGTGTGGACGCCCGGATACAAAAATTATGGGGCGTCTTGGTGGTCCAAGATACACACAAACGTCATGCGCTTCGTAAAAGAAGAAGAAGCATCCAATCCCGGTAACTATGATCGTGCCATTGCCAGATCCGTCGACCGACAGGGCGACCAATGGCGAGAACGGCGACATTACGGTGAATCCACAAGAAGGAACAATACGATGGGTGCGTGATGATGTGGATGCAGCAATAGCGAGGCGATCTGTGTGGGGATGGCATCACGGAAGATCCGAGTGGGTCATTCGGTACCGTGGCATGGTGGATTTGTTCTCCCTCCTCCGACTCCTCCTCCTCCTGCAACAACAAGTGCAGTTTCAGGTCTGTGCAACTAACCAATTACTGCTACCGTGAAATCCCTCCGGTTGCCGTATGCTGATGAGCTGAACTCCCACATGTCAGTCATGGTTGACCAGTCATGGTTGCGCTACGCTTCAAAGTGGGGGCCACGTATATCTCCTCCTCTTCTGCACTATCCGTTGCCGAATCCACCACTTGGTCTTTAAATGTGCTAATCTGTTTCGGCACTGGTATACTAGCAGGACTTTCCTTTCGTGGACGTGGCTTGCCATGTAGCACTCGATCGTTCTTCATCTCGTCGGTTTCACTGAGGACGAAACCGGCTGTTTTCTTCAAAAGCTCTTTGGCGCTGCTTTCGAGTGGCCATAGATTGTAGTACCGGAAAGCTTCCATAAAGCTCTCCGTAGATTGTGATCCACAGATCCGTAGACTGAATGACTTGCGTTAGGATGGAAGAAGGGCTCAATGAACACAAGACCAGCAGACAAAGACTTTCACTCACCGTGTGACATCGTCAGACATGCTGAAGCTTGTGATTATGTATACTCCGGTGATGGTATACCATTCTTTCCTGGCCTCAGGAGGCGCTCTTTGCTTTCCAAGAATTCTGATTGGGTCGCCTCCTCTCAGCTTGTGAAGGATCAAACGCCCAATTCTGGGACGAGTTGACCCAGCGAATAATCCCTCCTTGTCTCCAGTGTATTGCCATTCGATCTTTCTCAACAGGCAATGAGCACTCACTTGTCGTTTGTTAGCAACCTGTTGTCCGGTGCGCCTTTCTCCTCCTCTTGGAGAAGAGAGTAAACTCGATCGTCCTCTTTGTTCAACCTGGGATGCAGAGAACATGGACGAGCGTCGCCTCCTTTCAGACGTGGAACTCCTTGACATTGCACCGCTCGGACAGAATGGAGTGGAAGGTGAATCAACCGAAACCTCCCTCTCACCATCGTCACCATCAAACACTTCGTAAGGCTGAAAAGTAATTCCACTTGTGGGAATACTCCCAGATTCTGCGGTGTTCGTGATAATCATGTCGCTGAATTCGATAGCTGGGATTTCTTTGTCTCGGTCTTGCGACTTGTATTCTTCCATGGCCTGGTCAATGAGGAATCCCTGCACAATGTCTTTCGTGTCGAGCTCGAGCAACCGTGGAAGCTGATCATCGATCTCGGTAATGAATATGAGAGCTACCGCATTCAAGACGCCTTCCAGAAAGTTATCAGCTCGGAGAACCTTTGCGTGGAGAGGACAGCACAACGATCAAACCAACAATATATAGCGTGAGCATCTCTTCCAGCCGGTGCACCCTCGGCAAGGCAACGTACCACCAAGAAACCACAAAACGCCATCGTGATGGGGAGCACAAAGTTCACAATGAAATCCAAAAAGAACAACCAGGAGAATTCCCGTCGGTGTAGATATCGAAACATTTGCAGGGTGCTCGACATTTCAGGACAGGCCACCATAAATCCATAACAAGCCGTCCCGACGGCAAGGAAAATGTTTTGCGTTACCAGCGAAGGACCCCAGTCCTGTAGGATCATTGATTCTTCCTGGTTTCCACCCAAGTCGGTCAAGCTCAATGCCACGTAGGAAGCAGCGCACACCTGAAAAAAGAAGGAGAAGATGGTGTAGAAATAGGGCAACCGTCTACCAGTGTACTTGGTCATGCAATGAACCAGTCGGTAAATGTTGTCCTTTTTTTCGTCCACCAAGATCTTCTTTTGTTTCAGTTTGGAAAAGACAATGTCCAGAAGCTGAATAAGTCGTTTCCTTGATCGCTCTTGCTCTGCCACAAGAATGTCCATTTCCTCGTCCGATTTGATTTTGTGGCCCAGTTCCGCCTCGATGGCATCCAATCGGGTTGGATGGATTAACAGGCTCTTTTCAAACTCGGTGTTTTCGCCTCTGTTGGAAAAGGCAGAAGCAAGTGTGCAGGCAAAGCTGTGTGGTACAAGAAGCGCAGGAAGTGATAGACTGAGTATTACGGTACCACATAGGGTAGCCCAAATCCAAAATCCAACGGTATCTTTTTGCTGACCTGTAATACTCGCTCTCATTCATCTCATAGCACATATTCAGAAGCTCCGTCAATGCATACTTTGCCCCGGGAGGATTGTTGGTTATTGCGTCAGCCTTGAAGGAATGATTCGGTACCGCACAGAGGGCAAAGACAGATGCTTTTGTCAGAGCACCAAAAGAGAAAGGTGCGTCAATCGTTGGTCACCCATTCGTTTCCTCCTTACCTTGATGACATCTCTCACATAATTGAAGGATGACTTGCTGTCATGGTGATCCGTATGTCTCGTCCTTAACCAGGCCGTGATCCATTTCAGCTGTAAATTGGTGATAAAGATTCGGCTGGGGAAGGGCCGGAATTCGATTTTGTGGAGTTCTTCAATGGTAAAATCTCGTTCTCCCACTTCCTCCGGATGCAAAAAGACCAAATCTCGTTTGCTGGAAAAAGAGCTGGTTACTGGTATTGATCTTTCGCGATGATGATGATGATGGATAGAAGACTCTTGATATCCCTGTTGAAGTCTTCCCCATGTCCGTGTGCTGCTGCTGCTGTTCTGCAGTTGTTGTTCCTGTTGTTGTTGTGGATCCAAAACATCTAGACCCGCCGACAGGGACGATCGCAACTGCGTCAAGAATAATTCCGCTGGCAAACTCTTTACACTGGGACGGCTTGGGTTATTGTTGCTGTTGTTGTCACTGCCATTGTTGTTGCTTGTGTGTAGTATCGCACTTGCATTGATCCAGTCATCAAAGGTAGTAGTGGACGAATGGCGCCTCTGATCTCTCTTGAGGTCCGCCACTTCCTGCCGGAGCTTGGTCATCTCCCGTCTCATGGACTCCATCTGAGACAAGAGTTGTCTCAGATCCACAGTACTATTATCTTCCAGACCAGGCCGATCCTCGCTTTCGTCTTCATGGTCATTTTCCACAATGGTGGTGCTGCTTCTCGCATGAATCGAACTCGGTCTGGAGACCCAAGGATGGTCCAGCAAGTCGTTCAGGCGCAGACTTCTGTCTCCTTCCTCGTCTTCATCTTCTAAACCAGCTGCAGCAGTAGACACATTGCGATTTCTAACTACGTCCCCGGGTGGTTCCATGATGTCGTCGCTGAATCTTTCTTTCTATTGATAAAACAAATGGTATCCTTCCTTTCTACAACTTTCTTTGGAAATCTTCGTCAGTCGTCGATGTGCCTTTGGTCCTCTAAAACTTACTGGGGTGGAGGCAGTACGGGTACCGGTAGCGAGCAGGCCTACGGTACATGTGCGGTACCGGTATGCAAGACTGGCATGGAGAACTCTGACCTGGAGCATCACCGAGCGCTGGAAGAGCTGGAGCAGAAGACAATCGTTGAAAACGCCTGGGCAGAGAGGTGGTTTGTGCATTTGCTACCGGTACTACTGGACGCAATCACCAAGCAGGAAGAAAGAGTGACAGTCCTAACGAAAGTGAAGCAAACAAAGAGTGCGGTGCCAGCCATACTAGTACATGTATCTAGTGCATACAAAAGGTTTTGTGAGTCTCGTCCTGTACTAGAGTAGCTAGTGTTACTCTTGCTCCAGCCCCACAATCTTCTCACTGAGATCCCACAACTTTCGTGCATCCTGTAATGCATCGATGAACCCAGAAGATAATATAGTGAGAGAATGACCAAAAGTAACACAACACAAATTCATAAAACACAATACAGTGTTCGTACCGCTTCCAAGTATGTGTAAGTGTCGGTTTGTCTAACCTTTCCATTTTGCAAATAGGACCCATTTGGTATCCCTTTGGGTTCTTCCTTATCCGTAGAATCTTCTGGTTCGGCCGTCCCACTTTCGGGAGTGTCCAATTCGTGAGTACTCATCAGACCTGCATCGACCGAGATTGTGGCTCCCGACACAGAACACCACGCCCCCTGGGCCACAGTCTTTTGCAGTTGCTTCATAAATATGGCACATGCCAGATTGCCGTAGTAGAGGATAAAGGGCATGTTGCGGGTGACATCCGTTCGAACCAAGCCTGGATGGACCGCCAATGACACCAATTTATCCTTGTATCGACGTGCCAGTTCCTTGGCAAACAATATATTGCCGAGTTTAGATTGTGCGTATTGTCCAAAGAGTGAATACTGCCGCTTGCCCTTGTTGCAAAACAGGTCGTCCATGTCCATGCCTCCATGATGGCTGACGGCAATTTGATACGTCGAAGATGACAGGTGCAATACCCGTGGTGGATTTTTCTTGTTGGGTTTGAGCATATTTTTCGCTAGCAACATGCGAGTAAGTAGATAGTGGCCAAGCAGATTTGCCTGCATCATTGTCTCGCATCCATCCTTGGTCATGACATGATCGTTCATCATCACGCCAGCATTCAATATGAGAACATCAATTTTGGGAATATCTTCCAATTGACGCCCCTTCAAGAAATCCACGGCTTTGCGGATGGAATCAAAACTTCCCAAATCACATTCTAGTACCATGAGTTGTGACAATTTCATGGTATCTTCCTGTTGATTTTTCCGTAGTTCTTCCATGGCGTCTTGTCCTCTCTTGGGACTTCGACAGGCCAAAATCACCTTGGCGGCACCTAGATTGGCCAATTGACGGGCTGTTTCTTTGCCAATTCCAGCATTGGCGCCCGTGACCAAGACGATCTTTCCCTTGATGCAATCTTTCGGCACTCGACCGTTTGGATCCGTTCCTCCAACAATGTCCTCCAGTCTCGTTTCCAGCAGGAAATAAAATGACAGCACCCAAATGAGAGCACTCTCAATGACCATCATGGAAATTTCCATTCGACTCGTCTCGGAAATATTCGAGCCATGGGTTGTCGCATACCGATCGCTGTACGTAATGGCAGCAGCACCACCCAGCAGACCCAAGCGCCATGCCAACGAAGGCAATTTCTCAGACACTGTCCATTCGCAAAATCCTGCGTACATGGATAGCATTGCAATGGAGTAAAGCACAGCCACCAAGGGTGGCAATAAAAGGCCAAAGAACCATGCAAGCGCTGTTGTATCCATGGTGATGTGCGTCTTAATGAAAGTGGTGTGTCAAGCTACAACAAAGAAGCGGAAGAAGCGACTTGTTGTGATGTTGCCGTGTTTGGTTATCTATTCCAACATACCATCCCAGAGCTGCCTGCAGGGTTGTCAAGAAGATCCAGTACCTGGTAAGGGAAACCGAAAAACAAATACTAAATAGATACGTTAACCTCGGCAGTCTATCTACCTGAGCCCTCACCCCCTTTACCTCGACAGGTAAACTGCCTGAGTTCTCAACCCCTTTACCTCGGCAGTCTATCTGCCTGAGCCCTCACCCCCTTTTTTGGTATTTCCTATTTCCTATATCCTATTTCCTATTTCCTATTACGTCTCAATGAGACGACGCACCTTTTGGTTACCCCCTCAGTGGCACTCTGAAATCGATTTGCCGGCGTTTACTGTGGAAAATAGAGTAGCCGCACTTCAGTTGCAGAATCAACGGTCATGTGCTTCGAAAGATTTAGATCGATTCGTGGAAAAAGAACCGTTGAAGTTACTAAGGTTAAGGATAAACCGATCGAAGCGAAAGTCCATTATTGAAGGCACAGCACTGACTTCTCTCCCTCATTGAATTCGTATGGTAAACAGGAGGTAAATCCAAGCTTGGCCGACAACAATGCATGGTGAGTGCTTTATCCAATGGGCCGATCAATCGAATGGATGGCAATGAGGTAAGCCTATTATCAAGCGTTGTATTGAAGGCGCAGCACTGACTTCTCTTCCTCATTGGATTTCTATGGTAAACAGGAGAGAATTCCGAGCTCGGCCGTCAACAGGTGAGTTGGTTTTAGTTATTCGAATCGATTTTAGTTATTCGAATCGATCGATCGCACCTCTATTATTATCCAAGCCGTCCTTCTCTGGTGCAGATTCGAAAGCCATCCCTCATTGAATCCTATGGACCGTGGGATGGCAGTCAGTTCTCGGCCCATGACGGCCAAGTTGGTGCAATTTGAAAAACAATGGTAAGCCTCCGGTCGTCTGCAGTTTTGAGCACAGAAAACAAACTCATATCTATTTGTTGTTTCCTCTGCTGACTGCTGACGGCGCGGAAATCCATTGTCGGAACGAACGTTGATCGCTCCGAATAACACGAGGAAGAAGAGGCTACCGCTACGGAGTATGTGTACGGAGGAAATCTGTTAACTCCAGCCCTACCAAAAGCATGAACGACGTCCTTCGAGTCATTGAATGGCAACAGTCAACCGGAGGGCTACACGACAACGCACAAAAGCACAGAGGAGAGTGGATCTTCCTACCAGATTCATCCCTCCTTGTTATTCCCTGTGTTTTGGTGGTGATTCCTGTGTCGTACCCATTTTTCTGTATGCACAAGTCCTCGGGCGAACGACTTGCTTCTTTCGTAAGATAATAGATCATCGAGTCGTCGACTATTGAAAGGGAACAGGAGCAAGGCTAGCTACTCGACAACACACAAGAGAGTGGATCCTCCTACCGGATTCATCCCTTCTTGTTATTTCCTAGTTTTGGTGGTGATTCCTGTGTCGGTACCCATTTTCCTGTATGCGCAAATCAAGTACTTTTGCCACTAGCTATACGGCAGCTGGCTACAATGGCTGGATTGACAATTTCGTTGTGCGTGTATTTTCATAAGGATCCAATGCGGAGTAACCGAGTGCAGCGAGCAAAGTCGAACCTGCGTGTGTTCGGTACTGTTGCCACTGTCACCGATCGATGAACTCTACGATAGCTGCTACGAAGTGGCTGGATTGACAATGTTCGGTTGTGCATGTTTTTGTCATAAGGATCCAATGCAAGTACCGGCAACGGAGTGTAGCCAGTAAAGCGGAACCTGAGTGGTGTTCGGTACTGTCGCGGATCGGTGTAACTCTACGGTAACTTGCTACAATGGCTGGATTGACAATATTCGGTTTGTGCATGTATTCGTCATAAGGATCCAGTAGCGAGCAAACTGAGGAAACAGGAGACGAACGCTGAAAAAAAGCCGAATTTTCTATTTTCTATTTCTTTTACTTTTATTCCGGTGAAGCCAAAATATAGGGATAGAGATAGGCATAAGCCAACAAAACTGGAAATTGAAGGTTCTACAAATTTAGGGTAGGAATAAATCATGATTATTCAATGTTAGTGCACTCAACACAATAATCCAGCAGAACTACAAAAGGTACAGGTACAGGACTGACAGCTGTAAAATTATGGTTAGCGGGCGGCAACACACGACGAAGTCGGTGTTGAAGCCAGGGCTGGCTTGAAAGATGGGTGCAATCTCGAACATGATCCTCCTTCTTCTATCTGTCTTTCTGCCGAGGTATCGCAGCTCCCACTGACTTATTTAGTATTTCCTGTTTCCTGTTCCGGTGAAGCCAAAATATAGGGATAGAGTATAGGCACAAGCCAACTCTACAAATTTTGGGTAGGAATAAAATCATGATTATTCAAGGTTAGTGCACTCAACACAATAAGCCAGCAGAAGCTACAAAAGTTACAGTTACATAAGGGCGTGACAGCTGTAAAATTATGGTTAGCGGGCAGCCAACACATGACGAAGTCGGGTGTTGTTGCCAGGGCTAGCTTAAATAAAAAGAAGGTTATAATGAAGGAATGATACCGGGTGGCAACACACGACGAGTCTGGGTGTTGTCGCTCAGGGCTACTTTGAAAGAAGGGTGCAATCTCAAACATGTCATCATTCTTCTATCTGTCTTTCTGCCGAGTATCGCAGCTCCCGCTGACTTAATAAGGAGCGAGGGGGCGAAGCTAGGCAAAGCTGTGGCAGCGGGACTGGGAGAAAAGCTAGGACGGGAGCAGGGCAAAAGGGGGGCTCGGGGAAGGGGAATGCATGGAGCAAAAGGAGGAATGATCGGGGAAATCAAGAGGGAGTAAAAGGGAGCAAGATTAGCGGAAGAGCGCAAGTGCACCATCGGCATCCAAGAGAGAGCGGCGGTAGCTCATAGTGCCTGCGGGGACACGAGAGCTGCACATGCATTGGTGGGGGGAACCAAATTCAGTCTGAGAGGGAGGGTGGATGTTCGACTCTACAGCAGTTGTGAAAAGGGAACCAAGGTCTGAGGGGGTTTGACATGTTCATATCTCGAATCTTAATGGATCACTAATTGACCAAACCTAACGGACGGATTCCACTTCTCAACGGTCCAATAACCAAGACAAGGGTGTCTCACAATTTAATCGTGGGATTCAAATGTAGACCAGTGAAATGAATTGAGATATAAAGATTCGTGTGCAATACACGGCTCTTAGACTCGATCCTAGATAGGGTTTGAGTTCGACTCATAACTGAGTCTTTCGTGAATAGTCATTGAGACAGGGTTCTCAATGACCGCCTAGTCATACTAGGTTACACTAGGTATCGACGCAGCCTCGCTGATAGATATTTAGCTAGCGTGGAGATTCCCATGCTACTTCCATGCTACTAGTAGATTACTAGAGCTAGAGTTTCCACGTGTTCCGAGTTACACCGTGGTCTGCGTAGGATGTCTACAAACACCTACGCTAATCTAACTCCAACCTGATTTCTGGGTGCCCATGGGAGTAAACTATATCTCTGGCCTCGAAGATCTCTCTCATTGATTACTTTTCGTAGCATTCTAATCTCTCTTATAACTTTCATTCTCTCAAACTCAAAACACTCGAAAGATCTTTACACTAGCTTTTAGCGTAGTGCATTTTGTTAACAAACACAATAGCTTTCAGCTACCCTCAACCTATTGCTCACCATGAAGATTGCTCAAAGCAAACATGCGTTCGTCAACTTCGAGAACAGTTGCGCAGCATTCCGTAATGCACCTTTGGGCATGCAGCATTTTATTGCCAAAACCGCCACGAGTCACTGTGGAGTTGGACGACAGCCAACTTAAACGCCACAAGTGGCAGGACCACAGTGATTGCCCAAGGTGTGGTGATGACGATGAGGACACACTCCACGTTTGAATATGCAAACACCCATCCTCCACGCAGCAATGGAATGTGGAAATCTCAAAGCTCAAAACCTGGACGGAGAATCGCAAAACTGAGCCAAGCATAATCAAAATGATTATCCAGCAGCTACACCACTGGAGAAATGGAAATGACCAGTCTTTCTGGCTGACCTCAGGGAAACCAGCATCTGTGGCGGGCTGCAGAGCACAGGCAAAACTGGGCTGGTGGCAATTTCTCCTAGGACCATCTAAGAAGCGCATAATGGGGTAGCGCGAAAACAGCGAGGTCGGTTACAAAATTGCCAGGTCAGTCGATGGTAAGGTTACCAATCGGTAACTGACCTCGCGCTTATGTATGGTGGGTACAAGAAATCAATTTACAAATATCTACAGCAATGAATACTAATATACGCTCTGGCTCGTGCCAACGCATTCACCTCACTTTTAATTTCTTTAATAGTACTGTCAAATAGGTTACCGAATGGTTAGCTTTAGTGTCACAAATCAATTCGAAATTCCTGCTGGAATGGCGCGCAAGAGGGCTCACGCCCTGGTGGAAGAGGAACAAACTTCCGACCAGAGAGCTAATACAATAACATAGTTTCATACTGTCGATGCCAACCAAGTACTGAGAAACAGAAGAGCCAATGGCGAACAAACCCAACGAAGGCCTCAATGGTGCATATCGAATACCTAAAGAAGAGAGAGCAAAGATGAAAGTAGGAGTGAACGTGTACGTGTACGTGAACGTGTACGTGTACGTGTATGTGTATTATCCAATCCCAGTGCATCCGACGGCTCTGTCGTTGGATACTCCCTCTTTATTCATTTTTCACCATTACTCCACTGATTACACGTGTGTTTTGTGCTAAGTATCGACTTCCAAGATCGCTTATTGTATCACCAACCGTGGAGACCACGATGGCAAAGCTCTCCATCGTATGCCCTCATCCAAATTCAGTCGATACCTCGCGTTGTGTGCGCCATTCAACCTCATTTTTTCGACAGTTTGCCTCTGAAAGCGAAAGCTCTGCCTTGTTGCTAACACTACATTCTTCCACCATTTCCTCCTGTTGTCACTTCCTTCCACTGTCGATTTGGCTCTCTTGGCGTGGTAAAGCTATTGGAGAGCAGACTGCTTCGGAAGGGCGAAGACGACGAAGCGGAAGTCTACGGTACTGCGAGGAGCACAGTCAAGGTATTGGAGGGCAAACAGAAGAATACACGGACGAATCAGAAGAGGAACAAGGCAGTGTCGACGAGGACGAGGAAGACGATTTGCATGCGAACGATAGGGATTCACCAAAACCTACCAAGAAGAAACGGAAGCCCAGCACGTCAGTTTCGGTGAGCAGTCTGTCCGATTCCCAAGGTAGTGCCTCCCAATCTACAGCCAGCCAGCGTCACAAATCGGGAACCCAGTCTCGTGCATCTGGAACCAAACTCCGCAAAAAGCACCGCAAAAACGA